TGGGATAAGTAACATTATGAGTCCTAAGACAGTACATAGCTCTCCATAAAAATAACAGAAATAGGGAGCAGTAAATGTTACATTCTTGTAAATGATGAGACACAGCTCTTGTGAAGGCCTGATAAGAGGCCATGACATGATAGAATTATATATGTAATTTGGTACAGTCTGCATGCATTTACATGGAAACTAACAATAAAAGTAGTGGGTAAAATTGTTCAACTTGTCACATGGTGCTTGGAAATTATTAATAATATGGCCCATTATAAAGGCTTACTGTCTCACATATACTCTAAACAAACTACTGTACTTACAGAAAGAGATAAACAGAAATCAACATTTGACAGAAATGGATTCTCTAGTACACTAAGATTATGATCATCTAGGACGTGACACCCAGAAGACTAATCTTAATATCTGCTGCCTTGAGAAACTTACACCCCTTGTACACATACATAATACAAGGTGGGGTGCAGAACCTTCCTTTTTGTGAAGACACACTGTGAAGGGAGGGGAGGTCGCAGAAAAGTGGGGATAGGCTCGGCGAATGCAGCAGTCGCGGAAGTTTCTGTCTGATACCCTTAAGTAGGAAACATGAGGTGGATGAGTAAGCAGCGTGCATTTGCTGTCGAAGCCTATTTTTCGAACAATCATTCCTACGTGGCGGTGCAGCGTGTGTTCCGTACTCACTTTGGAATTAAGCCCAAAGGTCCAGTTCCCAACCAGAAATTGATTGTTTTGTGGGTAGAGAACTTTAGGACAACCGGGAGTGTGGTGAAAAAATCATCAGGACGACAACGGACTGTTATGACGCCAGAAAATGTGGAGGCAGTTCGACAGTCGATTTTGAGATCTCCACGACGCTCCGCTCGCAAACATGCAGTCACCCTAGACATATCCAATCATTCAATGTGCTGAATTCTTCATGAACATCTTCATTTCCATCCCTATAAGATGGTTGCTGTGCAAAAATTGTCACCACATGATTTCCAGAGGTGAATAACGGCGTGCAAAACGTTATTGGAAACTCTAACCCCTGTCGCACTTGTTTTCTTTAGTGATGAGGCACATTTTCACCTATCCAAATATGTCAACAAGCAGAATATGTGCTATTGGAGTGGTAACAATCCCAGAGAGCTCCATGAGAGGCCACTTCACAGTGATAAGGTGACAGTATGGTGTGCGTTGTCGAGAGCTGGAGTTATTGGCCCTTATTTTTTTGAAGAAGACAATCATGCAGTTACTGTCAATTCACAGTGGTATCTGGACATGATTAAAAACTTTTTCGAACCTGCTCTTGAAGAAATGCATCTAGAAAATGTCTGGTTCCAACAGGATGGTGCCATGGCCCACATAGCCTGAGCTTCGATGACAGTTTTGAGGACAAAGTTCCCCGGACGACTCATCTCGCTTCGACGTGACATCCAGTGGGCAGCGCACTCACCTGATCTAACGCCCTATAATTTTTCTTATGAGGATACCTCAAGGCAGAGGTTTTCAAACATCGCCCCACAAACCTGCTTCAGCTGAAGAATGTTATTCAGCAGGAAGTAGCCCAAATTCCGGTGCACATGTTGGAACATGCAGAGGGGAACTTCAGAAAACGGTTGCATCAGTCCACAGAGAACGGTGGCCACCACCTTCAAGATACTTTGTTCAAAACTACATGATTTAAAATAAAGTATGTTCTTTCATTAGCTAAACATAAATTTTGTCTATCAGCAATAATTTTTCTTTTATTCGCCTTCAAAGAAAGGAAGTTTCTGCACTCCATCCTGTACATTAGTTTGCAATGTTTGTTTACTTGCATTCACAAAACATAGACCTTAGAAACATACGAAAAAAGCACTCTTTGTTGAATTTTTGATGGGCACTGCATTAATTTTATATAAAAAGAAGTTCTGGAAAGAACTTCAGAAACCTACCTTCTTGTAAATGCTTCAATCTACACTGCAAGGTTAACAGAAAATAAAAATAAATAGTTATAAAATGTTGCAAAATGTGGATATATACATCCACTCCCCCATATACCTTCATGGTGTAGTGCTTAATTTATTAAGCATACGGACAACTTTACCATATTATAAAACTTGGCAAAGATTTCTGTGCACTATTTCCACCACTAAAGATCCCAACTACTTTAGATTTGTCAGGCATGATATCAAAGTTTCATGATATTTTCATGTTTATAAGTTCTGACCATAAAATTTTTTCATACAAAATTTGTTGATATTTTGATATATATCATGAAACAACACTTCTCACACTTAACTTGAAAGATTAATTTAGTAATCACCATAAATCTTATTGAATTACAGATTTCAAGTAGACAACACACTATAATCTACATTCTACAAACAAGTTACTTTAACCGAAGTACATATATTGTTTGAAGATACGATATATCAAATTTCCATTATTTAAAGGTGGAGTCATGTAAATGAATGATTAAACTTGACAGAATGGTGTGTAGAAAGGTGATCCAGGTCAGTTTGTTTCTCTGGCTTGGTGTAATCATCAATTTCACTACCATTTTCAAGGAAACAGGTAAGAAATTTGCACAAAACTAGTTTCAGTGAGTATTGTAGATAGTTATGTAATAGATGACTGTCTCATGTGAAGCCATAAGAAGCCCTCAGATTTCATTTCAGCAGTCTCAATGATACCAATTACTTTGACACCTTTTAAGGAAATGTAAATGCAGATGACATTTGTGCTACCTTCGGTGCATGATTTACATCCTGGAAACCTACATATGTAAGTAGAGACTTCCAGACATTAACCGCTGTTAATTCATGTTCACCACTACTGGCAAAGCACACTGTGTACAATGCTATCTCATTTCTGGCAGGAATAGTTTTTTTTACATTACATTACATTACATTCCATGGATCCACAGTTACTCAAAATGACTGTAGGATGGGGAACATGTCATATAAATACAAAACACATGTACAGACCCAATGGAGTTCTCACACAAGAGAAACCAAGAATACACAGTGACTACACACAAGGCTATTTAAAGTTACATAAGTTATTTTCTAGACAATAGGTATTCATCAACAGAACAGAATGAATGTGTATTTAAGTATCGTTTCAGTGCTATTTGAAATCGTGCCTTTTCATTCATAAGACCTTTGAGATCAGATGGCAGGTTAGTGAATCAATGACAGGAGCATGTGCAAACTTGTTCATAACAATAAGATGATGTGATTATCTAGGTTCTGTATCTTAGCAGTACCAAGAGACAATATATTCTTATTATAATGGGTTTCATGGAACTGCACACCAATGGTGAAAAAATGCAAAATGGATATTTTAGGAAGTTCAGCAATAAATACAGGGAATTTTTTGAAGCTACTGACATGTTCATGGCTCTGCATTTCACCACTACAGGGACATTGCTGACCGCTAAGTGCATGCAAATTTTGTCAATGACTCAGCATGCTTGACGGCCAACAACATCTGGAATGAAGGAAAATAATTAACTAGTAGACCTCTACACGGTATGATGTTATACAGTGGGAAGTGCAGTGCATGCATGGGTGTTTGTTTGTGATTTCTCAGCAGTAGGCAGTAGTTACCAGCACCATGAGCCATTTGTTTCCAATTAACAGTTAGTCAGCAGTTTGGCACGACATGGTTCATGATACTTTAGAGCAACATGTATTTATGTATGACACTTATGTGAAATACAGTTCTGGTGGAAAGTTTCGGTGAAAATTTTGATGTAAATTTAAATGATGAAAGAGTTTCCAGCAGACGAGCAACTCATAATTTGGTGAATAAACTTAGAACAAAGGGACTCTTAATAGACAAGAAAACAAAACATAAGCATCAAGTGCTTATTGAGGAGAAATGATCCTTGTTATTTTTTCTTCTGGGGTTCTGTGAAGGACAAAGTTTAGAGCAGTAACCCTCAAAGAGAAGAACTGAGAGAAAATATTTGTAGGGAAATTTCAAATATTCCTGCAGAGAATCTTCAGAAGGTAAATCAAAACCTCGTCCACTGGAATGAGGAATGTCTACATGTAGAGAGACATCACTTTCGCACCTCCTGTAATTTGTGAACAAAGGTAAGAACTTCCCTTCATTCCAAATGTTATCAGCATGCTGAGTCATAGGCAAAATTCACATGCGCTCCGCGGCTGGCAGTGTGCTGATCATGGTGAAGCACTGGGCCATGAATGCATCAAGTTCATTAAAAACCACCCTATACATTCTCAGTTCAGAATTAAACCATATAGATGCCATGTTCTTTCGCTGGTATCATACAGGCAATGTTTCCCAATATGTGTTCCTGGTATCTGATAAAAGAATATTCACTGTTATTGAATTCCTAAGGCATTTTCTCTTTTGTGGATCACCTTAAAAAAAACTGACAATATATTTCAGACATAGTTTATATATTACAGAATAACTGTTAATTCACTTAGAACTCCAGTGCTTTCATCAGTTACAAAGATATTTATCAAGGTAATGTAGGTGGTTGAGGCACTATGCTACAAGCCAGAAGGTTGCAGGTTTGAATCCCAATGAGGTCATTAGATTTTTTTCAATGTACCTAATCCTTCCAGCCACACTATGGCCCTAGGGTTGACTCAGCCTCTAACAGAAATGAGTACCAAGAATCTTCCTTGGGGGTAAAGGGTGGCTGGCATGTAAGGCTGACAATCTCACTGCCATCTGTGAGCCAACTGTCTAGAAAATGTGGAATCCTCAAAGTCTCACAATGTTATGGGCGTCCATGGTACATTACAGGGATAGCTTTACCTTTTCTTTTATTTGTGGTTTCATTTTTGGAGCAATTTCTACACTTCTTTATTCTTAACTGCCAACAAAGAGCAATCACTCTTTTTTACAGTTAAAAATTGTCATTATAATGGACTTCTACTGTATATTGATATTCTGCATGACAAGAAATTTTTAGAGCATTTATAAAATTGTCCTTTATATCAATGTATATGTGGAACAAAATCTTAATTTCAGAAGACACTTACCTCACAGGAATGCTGGCAATGTATTAAATGTTTTTCATCCTTTTGTTTGCCTTTCCTCAGTTCTTCATTGGTTACTTGGAATGTAGAAAGTGTCTCCCTGAGTACTGTCACAACCATCTGTCCCTTAATAGCACTCCACTGATTGTCTGAAAAGTAATGTATCACTTAAGCCAAATTCTGTTATTACTGGGATTGGGTTAATGGCTTATTTTACAATGCTGAATGATAACATGGAAAGGACTTTGAAGGATGTGGCCATGACCTATTTATTTTGCACAGTGGGGGGGGGGTGGAGTCCAGTTGGGTCCACTCAGCACATCGGCCACTAATTGGCCTATTGTACCTGCCCCGGGTGATTATGATTATGGAGAATTTGGTGGCACGAAGATTGGCAGGGGAAACCGAAGTACTTGGAGAAAACCTGCCCCAGCGCCACTTTGTCCACCACAATCCCACTTGACCAGACTCAGGCTTGAACCCGGACTGCCGCAGTGGGAAGCCAGCGACTAACCGCTTGAGATATGGCGCAGCCCTGGCCACGGCCTATCTGAAGTACTATCCAGGCATTTGTCTGAAGGGACTGAGGAAAACCATGGGAAAACCAAATCAGGATAGCCACAGCCCATGCCGGTATTTCAACCAATCACCTACCAAATACTTGTTTAAAGTGTTCTCACTATTCCATCCCGCTCAGTCTATCATCATCGTCGTCGTCATCATCACCATTTTGTAAAATTATGAACACAGAGCTAGAGCCATGTTACACATAGACAAATAGCAAGATCTGCTTGAGAGCATAAAAAATGAAGACACTGAGAAGGCCTAGGAGAGACCATGTAAGGGTACATATACAGAAGTGTAGTGAAGAGTGGATACAGGATACAGGACACAGATACAAGGGGAACAGCTCGAAGTAACCAAGTTCCAAATTGCTGCATGTAATTACATAATTTCTTGGTTGAGGAAAGGCTCTAATAATAAGGTATGATGAATCTTCATTAGGACTCCACAAGTCTGTAACACTGATTTGAATTCAGTTCACATCAGCATATCATTTACTCTGAGCTCAAGCAACAACTCTTGGTCACAATAACAAAGTACATATCTTTACCAGATACAGACAATCTGATGGCATTTTTTAAGAACTGCATTTAGGCTGCAGTCTAATTTTAAAAGCATTAATTCCTAGAAAAATTCAGCTCTGTGAATCAGAAAAGACAGAGAATCTTTATGTCATTGTACATACCAATGTGTCCAAGTAAAACTGCTGACTGTGGGAGATGCTTAGTGTACAGCTGCCTCCAAATACTGTAGCAATGTTGATCACTATTTAGACATATGATCAAACAAGCCAACAGCTGAAACAAAAGTGACAAAAATTACACTGTGAAAACAAACTACATGGAGCAGCTATAAAATAACCAGACTATTTTTTTTTTGCAGACTCCCTGTGGCCTTGGCAACAGCATGTGGAATGGCATGTTAGCCTGTCTTCTCCTCTCCATTAACCCTATGACTTCCAAGGCCATACGGCCAACAGTGTGGTAGCAGCTTTTGTTTGAAAGAGACCATGTATCTGAGCTGTGTTGGAATTATGTTAAGCGTTAAAGTAGAGCAATGTGGCATAGTCTAAAGCAAAGTTGAAAAGCAGTGGCAATAAAGCAACTCCTTGTTTTAGACCATTCTGGATAGGGAAATTATCAGACAAATATTTACATATATGAACTTTTAGATTCTTTTTTGTATTAGTACCATCAACACAACACGAGTGGTAAGGAAATATCTTCAACGGAGATAGTAGACGTTAATGTATAGATGTACAGCCGTATTTGTAATAAATAAGTGAAATGTACATTAGCATCTACTACCTCCATTAACGATATTTCCATACCACTTGTTGTGTTGTGTTGACGGTTATAATAAAAAAAAAAACCTAATATACTCACAACCGGGTGCAAGGTATAAAGTTTATATTGACTTTACTATATGTTCCGTTTAAACACATTTTAATGAGCCTAACTAGTTTCATGGACACCCCAAAGAGTATGAGAATACTGTAAAATATTTCCCTCCTAACTGCATCACAGGCTTTCCTGAAGTCTATGAATAGCTGATACATTTTTTCAGTGTTATCCCATCTGTTTTCCCAGTATCTGTCGAATGCAAAATATCTGATCAGTAGCTGATCTGAAGCATGCAAATCCACACTGATGATCCCAATTATTTCATATATGTATGGCCTTAACCTTCAGAGAAGAATATTGGATAACATTCTGTATGAAGTTGACAGCAGTGATATCCCATGATAATTACTAGTCAGTTTTATCACCCTTCTTGTGAACTGGTACAATAATAGAATTCTTCCATTGATCAGACAATTCTTCCTTATTCAAAATAGAATTAATGAGCTTATGAACCTGAGACCATAATATTTCACCTCCTGCTTGAATCAGTTCTGCCTTAATTTGATCAGTGCCTGGTGATTTACACCTTTTCAACTTTGTGACAGCAATTTCAACCTCAAAAGGACTAGGATCAGTGTAGCAGCCCAGCGTGATTTCATTACCTGGATGCAACACTTGGAAACAATGCATGGCTTCATGATGAAAACCTGTGTTAGATCTAGACAGTAATTACTGCAGGTGGAGAGTCAGTCTGAGGTCTGTCAGACATGAACTGTGCCAACAGACTTAGCTTATAGAGTGGTGTTTTGGCACAGAATGAAGTAAGGCTAATCCCTGCTTGTGACTTCTACATGCAACTTGTTAACTTGGGTCCTGCACAAGCTAATCCCACAGGCATGTGAGGACAGGTGTCAAAATCACACATAGGTTTGTCAAGACACCAGCAATGAGATTCAAGCCCTTTTGTGTTAAACAAGATGTTCTCTGACCAAAAGTAGTGAATTTCATGGCAGATGACCAACCATGAACTCTGCTTTGGGTTTGGATTTTGATAGTTCAAGCCCACCAGCCATAAAATGTTCCTAAAGTGATGACAGGAGCACTTTGCATTCACTCGGTATTCAGTACTATATCACTTTGCTTGGCAGTCAGTATTTCTTTAGCACTTCCTTGTTTCTCAGTTAGTCAGTCCAAACATTCTTCTAAGTTGTAAGTTTTCACGGCGATGACAATGAAGAAAGTTGTCTTCTGGGTTTAGGCACCGTGTATTCTTCGTTTTGGCCGACGTTTCGGAGGAACGTAGCGCCTCCATCTTCAGAGCAGTTGAATAGCTGCGGAGAGCAGTAGCTGTGGTGATAGGATGTGGAAGGTGCTGCTTATATACGAAGTAGGCAGGGGGGGTGGTTAGGGAGAACGGACCAATGGGAGCAGTGGAGAGCGATTAAGGCCATATATGGTGTGTGACTAAGGGCGAGGGGGAACGGTCAGTGAGTACAGGAAACTTGAGGTCAATAGCACTAGGAAGTGCGGTAGTCAAAACCGGTAGGTTGAGGACAGGCTATTGACGTCAATGACATGACGAAGAACTGGTGTGGCTTGTAGGATTCTCTTGAGGGAAAGGATGTTTCACGTCTGTCGAGATTGTT